CCAGAACTGGGATTGAAGGGTCATGCTCTTGACTACTCTTCTATCTGCCTCTGAGGAGATGAACTTCCTCTGGTCTGAACTTCTTGGAGTCCAAGTCAGCCAAGACTGACAAACCCTGGGCAAGGCTGGATTCTGCGACCTGTCGAGAAAATGTGGTTCCACAGGAAAAGTCCACCTTGACTTCAGTTGGGTGAAATACATCAGCTTTTAAAAACACAAAATAAGTGAATTCATTGTTAATAAAAAGGCACCAAAGTGACAAGCCTGGAACAATAGCCCTTTATTTTCACTGAATAGGACCTGGCTAGTAAAGGGCAGTCTTTACCAGCCATCACCACTCGGTGTCTTCTCCCAGCCCTGCCCACGCTGCTTGTCAGAGGGCCAGGCTGCCCAGCAAGAAATCCAGGCTAACTCAGGAATGCCAAAGGAGCTGCTCTAGTGTTCCGCTTTGGTTCATGTTACATACACACACAAAAAAGAACACCTTCTGAAGAAAAACTACCTTCTATAACCAGCTCAGAAACAGGGCACCTAATTTTTAGGTTTAGCTAGGTGTCCACTTTTACTGTGACGTCAGCAGCAAAGCCACGTTTCCACTGTAGCTCCTAGAAAATGCATTATCAACCAGAGGCAATGCCTGCCAGGTCTCGTAAAGTAAGAATCTCACCCTAACGTTTTCAGAATTTCCAAAGGCTAGGGTTAGATATAAGAGCAATTCTCATCTTGGTCTTGGCCATACCATACCCCAGCCTGCTAGAGAGAGAAGCCCTGCTGCTCTAGTGTACAGTCTGCTTGTCTGAACGGGAACCTGTGGTCTATTTCTGAGTCCCACCCCATCTCCTACCCCCTCACTGCCCGTGGACACCAGTTCCTAGGACTACCCATACTGCCAGGCGATTTGGGAACTCAAGTATTTCTGGTGACATTCTGCTTCTTCCTGCTGTGTCCCTGGGACTGCGTCCTTTGAATAGGAAATGCAAATGTTGAGAAAAGCTCAGCTCTTCTAGGGAGTAGTTCAGCAAGATATGGGTCAGGCAATGCCCAATACAGAGGTGGGGTCACAATCTTCAGAATCAGCAGGACCTCTTTTCACCTGCGGTCTACATGAAGGAGCCACTCTGCCTGGGAGGTCTCAGCTATAACTGTGTGAGAGAAGGGGGACAGGGATGCCTTGGGCAATTGGTAACCTGTTTGTGGTTTGAGGTAAGTTTTCACCTGAAGAGATACCAACACTGTTGTCTGGAAATCAAGCCCACCAATTTTAATATGCCATTATGAACACTAAAGAATAACCAGCCTTCAAGTTCCAGAGAGTTCTGAAGGGAGAGAGAGCAGTGAGTGAAAAGCCCTGAGAACAGGTTTCCAGTACCTGACGTCTTTCTTCAGGAAAAACAAACCCTGAAGGTGGGACTGCGGAGGCAGGAGTGGTATGTCCACATCCCAGGGCCCAGCCCCACCTGCGGTCACCACCCAAACTTCAGACCAGACCTTCCTCTGGACACAAGCGCAAAACAGCATGCCATCTGCCCTTAGAGTCTGTTAACACAGAGGTTTTAGCTTCCGAACTGTCTGAACTGAACTAAATGGGCTCCCTATCTCAGGGAACCTGACACCTTTCTATTCATAGCCCAACACGCTCAACACAATGCCTCACAAAAGAAGCCGGAAATTGAAAAGCCAAAGTCAGTAGAATCATCCCCTTTCAGCCGATGTCGTGCAGGTTCTCTCCTCTGGTGCCATCTTCATGTAAGCAGAAGCTGCAGACCCACGGCTGAGTCTCAGACCAGAGCTATCTCCCCTAAATGCCAAGGCATCAAGGAAACACACAAGGACCACATATTTAATGATCGTCTCTGCCTGGAGCTGCTGTGCAAATTAAGTAATAAGTAAAGCTTCCCAAATTTTAAGGAATCATTGTAGAATGAGTCAGCTAGCATATCTGATGTACCTTTCAGAGGAAACGGCACCATAAGATCTGAAAGGACTGCATGCAAGTTGTGAAAGGCTTATTAGCAAGGACTTCCTCTTTTCACTTATTTAAATCCTAAAAGAAAATCCATGATCACTGTACTTCTTATTGAAGCAGGTTGCTGGTCACAGCGAGGGGGAAGACTCAGTGACTCGTTTTATGGTGAAACATAATTCTCACCATGCTAAATACAGAATTCCACAAACTGAAGAAACCTCCAAGAGTGTCTACTTCAGTGACTCTCAACCCTGGCTGTACACAGAAGCACCTGGGACATTAGGAAATCAAAGCTCTATATATGATGTTTGTATTTGGTCGTGGGAGGCTCAGTACAGTAAAAGCTCCTCAGGTGATTTGGCTGTGTCCCCAGAGCTGAGAATCACTATTTTGTCCAACTTTGACAAATGAAGAAATTGAAACTCAAAGAGGTCAGCCCATGGTGTAGTATGGCTGGCATTTTTCCCACTTGTGATTGTTCCAAGCACCCACCGCCGCACACAGGCAACAGCACTGAACAATAGTCACATTCCTCTTTCTAGAAACCTGCTTGTTTGGGAAAAAGAGATGACCAATTGTGCAGAAGAGCCAGTTATGGCAGAATCCTGACCATGAGAAGGCTCTGATCACAAACTATGCTGATGACTGGAAGAGGTCTATGCTTCTTGAGTGTCTCTCCATTTTCTGGCTGGGACCACAGCCCCAGGAGGAGCTGCAACATAGAACCCTCACCCCATCATTCATTCCCTTGGGCTCCTCTAGGCAAGTGTCAGTCAGCAGGTCCTTCCTCTTGGGGCGGCCAGGTCTTAGACAGCAGGGCTTCCCCCTCTCCTACACACATACAGGTGTGCTTTATGTGCATGTGCCACTATTACATGCTTTGAAGATGTGGTCCAGAGGTTTTTTATTCAAGACAATGTTTAGACTGGTTCTCCCACTTGCCAGGCTTTGTTTAGTATGTGGAAATAAACACTGTGATTAACAAATAATGAACCTTCAAATAAAATTAGGATTGGAATTATTTACTCTGAATTTTGGGGGAAAAAAAAATTTAGTGTTAGTTTTGAATGCCGAGCAATATTTTATATTAAGCAAAGAAAAACTAAGGATTTATTTTAGTAAATATCCAGAAACTGAAGGTGGTTAATATGCAAACCAGACCCCCCCAGTCAATGCTAATACAGTGTGCAAGGTGTAAGCCATGAGCAGCTGAGTCCAGATTGCTTTCATGCTAATGAGTATCTTTATGTCTGTTCCTAGGACCCCTAAATTAGTCAGTCATAACTTATAATCTTGTTTTAAGATTTTTTTAATCTTGGAATTAAAATAACCTTTTTTTTTAAATCAAAGAAGTAGAAAAATTACAAGAATAAGAATTCTAGAGATCTCTATAAATTTTTGAGATATGACTCAAAATCTTTGAAACAATTTCTCTGCAAACAGAAGAGTTAAAAAATATATTTCAGTAAAAAACCTACATGCGTTCTTATGTGTAAACAGTATAACTATGAGGAAAATATCTTATTTTGAGGAAGTTTATTGTTACCTTTTTGTAATAATAGATGAGGCACAACTGCCTCCTGCTTCTCCAACATCTCAATAAAAAAAGACAATAATCAAGGATTAACAGTGAAATTAAAAAATTACAAAAGCCTAAGGGTTTTGGAGACAAAAATGACTACAATCTATGTTTAGAAAAGTTGTAAATAATTTCAGGTTGGCCTTGCAAATAGTTGTCTTCTTCTCCAATTACAGTATGTCACAGAATTTAGAGCAGGGGCATCTTTAAAGACATTCTAATTCACCCCGGTCATTAGAAAGAGGGGGAAGGTCCAGGCTCAGCAAAGCCAGTGCTGCAACCAGGCGGTGGGGTCAGTGGCTGAGCTGGTAAGGACCCAGGCCTTTGGGCCATCCCACACTGGCTTTCTGATCAGTTAAACAGAAGTCACGATAGCTCATTACTACATGCTGCCGCGGGTTTGAAGTGATTAGTAAATGTATCAGACTTGAAAGGGAAAAAAGCACTCACTGGGCCGGCCCGGTGGCGCACTGCTACAGTGCGCTGCTTGGGAGCGCAGCGGTGCTCCCGCTGAGGGTTCGGATCCCACATACAGACCGGTTCCCGCTCACTGGCTGAGCGAGGTGTGGGCGCAACACCAAGGGTTGCGATCCCGTTGCTGGTCCCGGTCCAGTACGGGCGCGACACTGAGGGTTGCGATCCGTTGCCGGACACGAAAAAAGACAAAAAAGGAAAAAAAAAAAAAGCACTCACTGACAAGGCTGCCTGAAACTCTTCAGGAAGGTGTTTCAAACAATTCCACCAGTTATACCAATCATGGAGGCAGCACTCTCCAACAGACACATGAAGAGAATGTTGCATTTCCTCTGGGCTTTGGATCCTAACAAATGTATGACATACAGAAAGGTGACCCAGGCAGGGAAAGCTCACCATACTGTGAACCTGCTGCAAACTGAAAATGTGATACGAGACCATGCTGATGAACCCTGAAAAAAAGAGTATATTTTTTCCTTTAAAATATGGTCATTGGCACTAATCCTGGGTCACATCCTTACACTTTGTGAAGAGCCACAGGAAGCAGTACAAAAACAGCAACTTTTTCTTTCCCAGCCAAATTAAAAAAAGGGGGGGGGGCAAAACCCCAGCAAACATTGACACAAACCCTTCAGCCTCCAAAGAGAAAGAGCATTGCATGTTGTCTCCTAATTAAAATGCTGTGATAACAAGGATGACTCAGAAGCAGGATTTTTTCCTCCTTCTTCTTCTGGTTCAGCATCTGCCATGAGATTCATGTTTATCTGGTTTGCTGAAAACAAGCCAAGAGTGAGATACAAAAGGAACACGAGGGTCAGGAACAGCGTGGCCTCAGGACAAGGGCCCTTGGATATGTTTTTAAGCCACAGTAACATTCTGGTGCTAGTGTAAAGGAAGCTTTTTTTTTTTTCTTTTAAATGCTAGGAAAAGTCCCCAAACACACTAGGCAGACTCTTGTAGTAGAGTAATACACACAGGGGACCAGTTTGGAATGCAGTGTATTTTTAAACACAGTGAAAAATAACCTGGCAGGTAAATGAGCTGAAGATTTACCAGCTCATATCAACATTCACAGCCTTCTGCAGATTCACCCCGATGAGAACTATATCTGATAGTGTTTACTTGTTCTGCATGTACAGTAATAGAAGCAAGAGCCTTTGATAAAAATCAGTCTTAAAGGAGAGCTGAGAACAGGGGCCACCTGTCCAAAGGCATTGGTGTACAGGCAGTTTGGAGAAACTCCGATTTCTCCAGAGTTTGTGGGCTTCCCGAAAGATCAGCTGTTAGGAACTCACCACACAGCTGTGGCATTAACAAAAGCTTTGCTAGTAATCTTGCCAGCTTTCAGAAGCTCCAGAAGAGGAATATAAAGCTCTCTATTATTTCCGAAAGGAGGAAACGTTACATGCTGCTAACTGTAGTGTCAGAAGATGACTTGCAAGTAAGACAGAAAAGTCATCTGCAAGGCTACTTGGTTTCTATGTCTTTGCCACTGGATGGGAAGAAGTCAAAAGCACCACTATGTGCATACAGATAGGGCAACATTCACCGTCAGCGTCCCATCTCAACTCCATGCTGTGTTGCTGGGCAATTTGACAAGGCAGGAAGAGCAAGTCAAAAGCACCACTATGTGCATACAGATAGGGCAACATTCACCGTCAGCGTCCCATCTCCACTCCATGCTGTGTTGCTGGGCAATTTGACAAGGCAGGAAGAGCCAAGCATGCTGCAGGGGCATTAAGGCAAGTCCACACCTGCAAAGCTCCCAATTCCGTCCTCTACAGCTGGGAAGGCGGGAATCCTTGGCACAGCTCCTCAGCTTAATCTAATATGCCTGGACTAGGGTCTCTTAGGAAATTGGCACAAGTTTTAAAAGGCAACATATTCACTTTGGGAGGTGGCATCAGACCCTGAGGCTGGGGGTGCAAGGTCAGGCTCAGGCACTCTGAGTTTAGCAGCATCAGCATGCACTTGATCCCTACAAACTACTATTTGGCAAAACTTTCTGGTTAGAGTGTCTCAGTGAAGACTTGCAAGTTAGAGAGAAAAGCCATCTGCAAGGTCAGCTGGTTTTTGTGTTTTTGTCATTAAAGAGAGAGTGTGCATGAGCATACACACACACAAACATCAGTTAAATTGTGTCAAAAAAGGAAAAAAGTTTCTGCAAAAAGAAAGAAAGCTGTGTTATTAGGTATTACAAATTAATACCAAAGTGATCACTTGGATTATCAGTAGTTTCATTAGTCCCCAGGATTCAGTAGCTAACATCAAAGTTTCCATGTCCTTTTGCCTAGAGCTTGCTGGCTTGGCTGGTTTTACAGCATTCTTGAGCCAGGTATTCGATGACATGGATCCGAGAAACCAACTCAAGAATCATATAGATAATACACACCAAAGAGATCTGACCAGTAGCCATGGAGGCTGTTGAAGGATGACAAAAAAAAGGGGACTTTCTCTTTCACTGCAACATAATATCTTTTAGATTCTCTTGCAGGATCGTGTCCTTCACAGCATGAAACACGAAGCGGATATTCTCAGTGTCTATAGCAGTGGTGAAGTGGTGGAACAGTGGCTTACTGCGATTTCGTCTCTTTCTGTCAAAACACTGGACCAAGTAGCGTTGGACATCCTCCAGCCTGTGTGGGTCACCCTTGAAATCTGGGAAGTGCTTCTTGATGCTGACAGTCTTCACTTTCTCCACCAGGAGGTCCATCTTGTTGAGGAACAGAATTATGGAAACATTGAAGAAGAGCTTGTTGTTGACTATTGTCTCAAAGATGTTCATCGACTCCACCAGCCGGTTGGTACGCCTGTCTTCCATGAGGACCTGGTCATATTCACTAGAGGAGACCATGAACAGGATTGATGTGATCCCATCAAAGCACTGGAACCACTTTTGGCGTTGAGACCGCTGTCCGCCCACATCCACCATCTTAAAAGGAATTTTTTTAATAACGAAGTCATGTTCCACAATTCCCTTGGTGGCTTTCCTAGCCAGCAGGATATCTTGCTTACTAGGAAAGTAATTCTGTGAAATATAAAATAAGGGAGAGGTTTAGGAGGGGAAGAAAAAAGTCAGAAAATAGCAAAAAGATGGCAATAGATAGGGTGGAGGGAGAGATTGACTTTTGTAAGAAGTTGAACCAAATACCAAAAACAAATTTCATTTATAAAATTACAGATTTACTATGAAACTAAAAGTGAATTAAACTCCTTCTTTCAAAATGAATGGAGGCTCATTAGTCTGAGGAAGAATTATCAGAATTCTCACTGTCAGCCCTAATGCAAAATCTCATTCATTTTCTTCTCCAAAGGAAATTTATCATCTCTTCTGTTTCCATACCATAGATACCTTCCAATTTCTCTAACTTCCAGAGCATCTACATTACTATGAACTAATTTAATTTAGGTTTTTCAATTCTATTTAAATTTAGTCTGCAATATATTTAATATGTTATTCTTGGAAAACTGTAGAATCTTTGGCAACACACAGACATCCATAGAACTCTTGAACCACTTCGATTTTGCACTATTAAAATTCCTCAAGTGACTAGTGCACAGGATCACAGCAGTCTCACCAAAAAACGAAATTGGGATATAATCAAGCCTAGATCTACAGGACTAACTACCAATTCACAGGAGGTACAGGGGACACAGAAACATCTTCAATAACACTGCAGGGATGGAACAGGATTAATAATCCGGTTATTTCAATAAATAAATTAAAAGAAGAAAAAAATGGAGAAACCTATAGATGAGAAGAAATTTAGGTGACATCAACCAGTTGCGATGTATGGACCTCATTAGGATGTTGACACAAACTGCTAAAATAAAGCAACATCAACAAGAAAACATTAACGAGGCAATTGGGAAAAATCTCAAAACTGACTGGACACTGGTTCACATTATGGAATTATTGCTAATGTTTTAGGAGCAACGTGGTATCGTGGTTATGATTTTTAAAGAGTCTTATCTTTTAGAGATACACTCTAAAATATTGATGAAATGATATGATGACCAATTTGTTCCTAGGGGTGTGGTTAGGGTCAATGAAACGAGGTTGGTCATGAGTGATAATTATTGCACTTGGGGTTTCATTATACTATTTATTTCTATACATGTTTGAATTTTCCATATGAAAAGTTACAGGAAATCCTCCTTTGATTAAAGAACTCCTCTGTCTCCTTTTTGTGATCTGGGCGAAGTCATTCTTACAGAGCAATTTCTTCCCCTCCACTGTAAGACAAAACCCAGATCTAAGCAGGAGCATGACATTATCATAGTATCCACAGTAATCTGATGTAACAAGCATGGCCCATAAGTATAGCTTATGGCTCTGGTCTCAACACAAATGTTTTCTAATCCTGGATTACAGATTCTCAGGGTGGGGGAGTCTTTACTCACCAGCTGGCCGATCCGGTCCAAGTTATCCAGGAAGTACTTCACTGATTCACCCTGTCAAGAAGGAAAAATATTCATGACTCAGCCTTGATTGGGGAATCCTGATTTGGCACATAGAAGAAACTTAATAGAGGAACAAGAGTGTTATTTTGCCTCTGTGTAAACAGTAAAACAAAATAAAAGGACTAGAGTGTATATGTACTTTTAAAATTAAAAGCACATAACTTTTCAAAAAAATTAAAAAATGCAGTTTCTTTAGCTCCAAGCCCAAGATTTAAATTCAGACTGTGTTTTTCAAAGCTCCCCAACTGGACTCTGATGCTTGGCAGGATGCTGGCCCCTCCGACCAGGCTAATCTCTTCCTTTCCAGATGTGGAGACCGGCCTGCTCCAGGCCATGCCGCCAGGAAGGGAGGGGATTAGAACCAGAATTTTAGATTTCAGTTCCTATGCATACTTTTGCTTCTGACAAAGATGGCCCAATGGACCCAAGACATTTTTGGCACTGGCATGGGGATCCAAACCCATGACCTTGGTGTTATAAGGCTGCACTCTAACCGATACAGCTAACTGGCTAGCTCATTCCTTGTTTTCAAAGAGAGTAAATATTGAAGAGAAGGGGCATGAGACAAAACAGTTTCCAGTTTCTAGAAATATTCTGTTATTACTTCACACATTTTTATGACCTGATTTATAGTAAAGAACAAAGGAGAGTCTTTAATTTGGATTCCTGTGGTAGAGGGATAAGTCTGTATTGACATTCAGTCCAGAAGAAAAACTAAGACATGTTCTATAGATAGAAGTGCACCTTTAAAATCACTCATGATCCTGTTTTAGGAAGTGTTGAATGAACAAACGCAGTGGCACTCACAGGGCATGAGAAGACTTCACAGGGTGTTCAAATTTTGTCTGAAATGGAGCTAAATAGAGGAAGTAGTATGGGAACAGGCATGCACAAGTTTCCCTTAGAAGGTGGAATGTCGAAAATTAATTATACCACATATATGAAAAGTATGCAGCTTTCTAAACCATTTCATTTGGAACCTTACTCTGAAAGACAGATACCAAAGCCAGTCCTAGGCTTCATGTGCTACCCTTATATAAGAGTATGTGGGAAGAGTTGCCCTAGGAAAAGTTTATGTCATTTTCTACATTCTCACATAAATGTACAAAATGGTGAAGTCACATCACACACACACACACACGGAAAGTTGACATTTTAGATTTTTAAGGAGGAAAAACCATTGGAAGGGCACTAGATTGCAGTCTGAGCTTGTGACTTCATTCATTTTCTACATTCTCACATAAATGTACAAAATGGTGAAGTCACATCACACACACACACACATGGAAAGTTGACATTTTAGATTTTTAAGGAGGAAAAACCATTGGAAGGGCACTAGATTGCAGTCTGAGCTTGTGACTTCATTAAAAAAAAAAAAAGGATGAGGAACAACAGGAACAACTAGTTCCTGATCTAGTTCATCTTTCCCTCCTTGGTCCCAGGCAAGTCCAAAGGGAGTAAATTTCATTTAGTGGAGAATCATCCTTCTCATTTTAGAATGAAGGCCTTTTAGGTGACTCAAAAGAGAGTATTCTGTTTCAGGGGATACAAACATACACATTTTCCCCCCATGATAGCAATGATTATTATTAGCAAATAAAATTTTCTTCCTTAATGTTAGATACTGTTGGAGCACAGTCTGATTTCCTGACAGCTCGCTTTCAAGAGGCCACAAAGGGAAAAGGCATCCAAGAGTCCAGGACAAAAACCTCACTTTCCCAGGCACCCTGAGCTCCACAGCACAGCTGAATCGGCTCTTATGCCTTTCTCTCTCCCTTCCACACCAGTCTTCAATGTGGGGAAAGCCATCGTCTGGATGGTGTGAGGCAACTCAGCCCTTTCCGCTGGCTGGCTGAGCTATGTAGTCTTGCTTTGTCTGCACATCCTGCCGCCTCCCACGCTCAAACAGGAAACAGCTGGGGGGCAAGAAAGCTGCTGGAGCAAACAGCGAACTCACCTGACTCATGACGTATTCCTTCCCCTAAATGCCTTCTCTCTTACCTCTCGCTTGCTCCTACTGCCTCTCACCCGGGGTCCTGGCAGGCGTAATGAGAGCTCATGAAGAATCCAGACACTGTCCCTCACCCACCGCCCTGCCATGTCTGAATCACAGAGGTGCTCGCCACATTCTTCCAGGAAGGCTGGGCAGTGGCAGCAGCTCACAGGCTGGGCCACTCTTCCCCGTTTCTGCTCAGGTGGTGGCACCAGGCAAAAGAAAGCGGAATAAGCTCTCCTACAGGGGTCTTACCTTTGCTGGGCATAAGAAGTCACAGGAAGGCAAATACCACAGTCAATGTCCTCATCACCACAAGATACTGAGACTTGGGTGCACGTGCTTTACCCAAATGGTACAGACATGAAATGAAAAGTGCCTCAGAGGACACAATGAGCTAAATACAAAGTATTAAAAAGTAAGGATATTTTCTCCCAGTTTAAATTTGAATATCCCTATTGAGTTTGAAACCAGGATCATCCCAACTGTACTTTAAAACAACAAATGCTAATATAAAAAGATCTTTATTGTTTCCTTCTCCACCAGAATGGTTCATTTAACTTATCTCAGCAGTTTGTTTCACTACTTTATTTATTTATTTTTTTAAAAAGATGACCGGTAAGGGGATCTTAACCCTTGACTTGGTGTTGTCAGCACCACACTCAGCCAGTGAGCGAACCGGCCATCCCTATATGGGATCCGAACCCAGGGCCTTGGTGTTATCAACACCACACTCTTCTGAGTGAGCCACGGGCCGGCCCTGTTTCATTACTTTAAATGTACTAACTTATCTGTGATTTTTAGCTTTTTGCATGGTTGGTGGCATCAACTCTTTCTAGGAAGGACCGCACAGGAGGAGAGGAGTCAAACCCAACTTCACACCATGTTGGCCTGTCTGGATAAATAACCTAGAGGGTCCATGTAAAAGCTGCTGCTGAACTGCAAGGTGCAGAGGGCCTGTTGGAAGGGAGGAAGGAAGGGAACACAATCCACTTGGTTCAAACCAGAACTCAGTCCCTAAAGTCCACTCTGCTATCCTACTGGGCTGAGTTGGAACTAAGGTTTAGTATACTGTGGTTTATTAGATTGAATAATGCATCATTTGATTTGGCATGTACCCTACAGGACAATCGTTTGCAATGGATTTCTTAATTCTATAGCATCAGCTCACTAGAAGGTCCAGGTTTAAAATCCCAATATATTTTCAACACTAGGAGAACTCAGTCATTTCTTTAGAGAAACAGCATGTGGCAGAAACTGAGATGTTAACATGAAACTAACTGCTTAGCAATTATAAAGAGAGTATAATGCATGCCAAAACAATCTTAGAGGCCTCTCTTGACAGCTACTGAAGTAACATGGTCTAACAAAAAAGTGTAAATCCAAATGGGCTTTTTATAATCCTCCTTGGTTTGAAAAATTAAATCGCTTAAGATTAATAAAGAGATGGATTCATGGATTAAACAAAACAAATTCCTCAGGGTGGGGGGGACCAGAGGCCACTGAGCACATACTTGACACGGGCCTGCCTTCCTGACTCAGTCTCTGAGTAAAACATTTCTCATTAGCACCAGAAGGCATGAGTGTGAGGCAGGGGTTAGATCGGCTGTCTGCTTCAAGAAACAGCAGGTTGATTTGGGGGCCGATGACTTGTGCTAGGCACAGACAGGCGATGTGACATGAAGATAGTAGGCAGGGCCTGGGTGAACACCCCAGTAAACAGAACCACCTTTCAGCAGACCAACTGCATCCTTCACCAAATCTCCTTTGGAAGCACCTGCCACGTAGCCCTCCAGTGGGTGAATGATATATGCTGGGTTTGCTGCTGCTCAAGGCTTCTGTCAGAAACCGTCACGCCCACCCTGCTGCAGACCCATCTGTCCATGCTCTGACATCTCTGCATTAATGAAGCTGCCCCCTCATGGATGTCTGCGGGCCTCATGCACCTCCTTCAGTTGATTCAGGACTATAATGAAAGCACCTCAAATCTTTCAACACTATACAAGACCAGGCCCTTGAGATCACTATGCTAGGGGCTGACTTTGGTCCTACCATTTTCTCTGTCAGTAATCTCATCCATTGGTGGAATGTTTTCAAGGTTCATCTATGTTGTAGCATCTACCAGGACTTTATTCCTTTTCAAAGCTGAATAATACCTGTATTCCTTTGTATGGATATACCACATTTTGTTAATCCATTTTTCAGTGGATGGACATTTGGATTGTTACCAACTTTTGGCTATTGCGAATAGTGCTACGAATGTTTTACATAAGTTTTTGTTTGAATATCTGTTTTCAGTTCTTTTGGGTGTATGCCTAGGAGTGGAATTGTTGGGTCATATGGTAATTCTATGCTTAATTTTTTGAGGAACCACCAAGCTGTTTTCCATAGCAGCTGCGCCACTTACATTCTCACCATCAATGTACATAGGTTTCAATTTATCTATATCCTTGTCGACATTTGTTATTTTTTGATTTTTTGACTGTAGCCATCCTAATGGGTGTGAAGTGGCATATCATTATAGTCTTGTCTGGGTTTTAAGGTAGTTCTATCTGTATCATTATCGTTATAAATTGAATGTTTATATCTTCTCAAAATGTGTATGTTGAAGGCCTAACCCCCGGTGTGATGGTATTTAGAGATGGGGTCTTTGGGAGGTAATTAGGGTTAGATGAGGTCATAAAGGGGCCCTCATGATGTGACTGGTGCCCTTATAAGATGTACCAGACACCATGAGCTTGCATGTGCGCTCTCTCCTCCATATGAGGACACTCTGAGAAGGCAGGCTTTTGTCTGCAAGTCAGGAAGAAGCCGTTACCAGAACCTAACCCTGCTGGCATCCTGATCTTGGACTTCCAATCTCCAGAAGTGTGAGAAAATAGATTTCTTTTTTTTTTTTTTTTCCTTTTTTGTCTTTTTTCGTGACCGGCAACGGATCGCAACCCTCAGTGTTGCGCCCGCACCTCGCTCAGCCAGTGAGCGGCCGGTCTGTATGTGG